AACGAACTTGAATGTGTGGCCGAGCCTTGTTGAATGAGCCGCGATTTGAGAATGGGCGTCATTTATCCGAACTGTTGCCGTAGCAGTGTTCCAACCATCACGGCAACTTTTTTAAGTTAACCACAACGTAATACTGATATGGCATGTGGCCGTTTTATGGGCAACCGATTTACCGCCTCGGTGCCCAGTTAGGCTAGGGAGCGTTGCAGCTGCAAGTTCAACTGCTGCTTATTTTACTAGCCAGTCCTCGCCGAAGGCGGCTCTATTTTCCACCAACCGCTGCCGTGACGGGTAGTAGACGGATAGGCTGATAGGCAACCTAGTATTTTCCCAGGTTTCTCATCATCTATATGATTCATGTTTGTTTTCATGCGGTTCAGTTCTCTTACGTGACTGTGAATTAACAATGTCTATCCGATGTAATAAGACTGTTCATCTGGCCTTTATTTCGAAAATTAACAGCACTGTGTGGCAATCAGAAGATGAGGGCTTAAGTTTTAACCGTTTTTGGCGGTTCATTTTTGTGTACTTTTCTCGCCTTGGTGCACCTAAAACAGATGGCTGACCCTAGTAGTGCTGTTGGTCAGATTGAATCAGACACCAACCATATTTACTCCCTCCACCCGCCCCTTAACCGTCTAGGTCGCTCATAGCGTTGAACCAGAACCAGGACCTAGCACGAGTTACATGCACTGATTCTCATGGGTTGGTTGTTTTAAAACCTTTCACCCATTACACCAGTAACTTTGCTGATTTAGATGTTCTAGTCTTTTTGAAGAAATCGGCAAGTACCTCGTTAACAATACTTATGCCAGAGAACGTTTTAGTTGCATCGTCAACCGCTGCTTCTCTCTATGTGGGACACTTGTATGACAGCTTAAATAGGTCACGAGAACAGGGACGCTCTGCCTAGTTAAAAAAGGTGCCCTTGCGCTAAATCTAATGAAGGGTGAATATTCTCGTATCTTGACCCTAACGCTAACTCTACCATAAAACTACAATGTTATCGCTGAATTAATGAGAAGGTTCGCGATCCAGGTATTTGCATGAACGAGAAAGAAGACGTATCGAGCACCAGATCAATTGATTAATTGTTCTGAATATGGACTCCTGTAAGAGTTCGAGAGCTCAGAACAATGAATCAATTGATCTGGTGCTCTATACGTCTTCTTCCTCGTTCATACAATGTTATCGAAATCTAAACTCTAGCTGTACTTTAAAACCTACCGTTAACACGAAACCAAACCTTAGCCTCTAACATAATCCTGACCCTAACCTCACTTAAACTTAACCCTAACCCTAACCCATCACCCTAATAGAAGATCTAAGTTGCCCGGAATTTGGCTCAAAATCACATGTATTGTGGGCGGCTCCTGTTCCCCTGCCTTTTTAGGCGGCCAGCCCTCGCTCCCTTTTCAACCAATCGCAGCCTCGCTGGGTAGTTCGCGGCTAGGTTGGCAGACAACCCAGTATTTCACAGAGGTTCTTACAATCTTTAAACTTTATTGGTAACTTTTTGTGTGGTTTAGGTCTCTTATGTGACTGCGAAGTACCAAGGCCTATCCGACGTAGTAAAACCAGACTTGATTTTATTTGTTGGAAAAGTAATAGCTGTGACTGCCAATTAGTAGATAGTGAAGTAAGTTCTAACCACTTTTGGCGGTTCTGCTTCAGATGCTTTTCTCGTCTTGGTGAACGTAGAGCAAATGGGCCAAACCCTACTAGTGCTGATGGGTAAAGTGGAACAGACATAAACCATATTTACCGTCCCCTTCTTTTACTGCTTCGGCGCTGAACCAGAACCGCTGCTGCCTAGCGCTTCACTGGTTTTCCTAAAATCCTTTCGCCTGGTAGAGGAGTAACTTTGTTAACTGAAAATATTCTGGCCTTTTTGAAGAAACCGCCCGGTCTGCCCGCAGGAAAGCCTTCGTTTGCCCTAACTATGTGTAAATGTAGGGAAAGGATGAATCGTATGACCGCCTACAGGAACAGAAGCCGACTAGAACGCATGCAGCCTTCTGTCAAATTCTGGTAGATTAGGTCTAGGCTTGAGGTGATGGGTTAGAGTTAAGTTCATGGTTATTTTTTAGGTGGAGATTAAGGTCTGAAACAACAGCAGGCTGTCCGTGCTCGGTCAAGTAGAATTTCACTGACTC